ATATATATAAAACTACCAATTCAAATTGAGTGGGAGTAGTTATTTTTATATATACTAGTAATCGTACCCGTGCGATGCGCGGTAAATATTAAAAAAATAGTAATTAAAGTAAATTATGATCGGGTTTGTTTGATCCTATTAGACCGTATTGCTTTAATAAATTTAAGTTGTCATCTTTTTTGTCAATACGATATACCCAATATTAAAATCTCTATTAAATTAAAGATACTTCTATAGTAAGTGTATAACTTGTTTGTTCTATATTTTTCTTTATCACATTATCCGTTGTTTAGTATTATTACGTTCTTATAGAAATTTTTATTCGTATATTACTTTGTTTACTATTTTTGTTTGCTCGATTTCTTTTTGTAATATAAGAGAAGATATATATTTTATTACTGTTGAATTTTTTTATTCTGTTGTTCTTAATAATATTATGTAAATTTAAATGAATAAAATCTCTATTAAATTAAAGGGACTTATACAGCGAATAACTTTTTTATTTTGTATTTTTCTTATTATATCATCCAATATTTAGTATTATTACATTGTTAATAGAAATTTTTATTAGCATATTACTTTATTTAATATTTTCTCTGCTATTTTTATTTTTGTTATATAATAGAAGATATATATTTTATTATGCCATGTGGCTTTTCTTAGGCTGCCACTTGGATTAAGGAGAGGGCTTTGTCCTCTCCTTTTAATAATATATAGATATTTATGTTTTTGTTTTTGACAAACTGGAATGGAATTTTATCCATAGCTAGAACCCTCGTCTTCTTTGTCAAGGCCCCAGTTCACCCTCCATGAACATGCCGTGATGGCAAACCTAGTTCCTACAACTAGGTAAGCCTAACAATGCGGAAATTTAATATAACTTGCAGAAACATTTAATTAAACTAAGCAAATCTAGAAGGAAACGATATATATAANATTTCATTGCGAGTCATAAAACTTCGAATATCCTTCAAAGTCACACCCTTGGACTTACCAAAATACCGCTTCAGATGATTGCTCTCTCGATTAATTGGTCTTTCAACATTGTGTGCTCTGATCCGCAAATCACACATAATGTGAAAGTCTTCAAGGGTGAAGGAAACATCATGCCCAAAAATCTTGAAACTAATGGAGTCTCGATCATTCGTGAATATTCGAGAAAGACACAGACAATGCACCAACTTCATGCTGCATTGAAAATTCTCCATAGCCATAATGTATCTAAATGTACCATTATTAAGCTTATCCTGTTGAGTAGGAGTCAAGAAAGTTGCAATTAATTTCTTCAAATCATGGTTCCCCTTCCAGTAACCCTTAGAGTTAAACCAATCTCCAAACTCATAATATCTTTGTCCTGGTTTTGTAGGTGGAGCAGAGAGGACATAAGGACCTTGGGGTATTACAGGTAGTCTAGGTGTTTTAGGGGCTTTGCCTTTTTTAGCTGCATTAGGATCTTTAGGTGCTTTAGGAGCCATCTGTTCGAAAAAAGTAAAAGATACAAAAAATAACATCAGGACATTATCAAAAAGATCAGTTAAAATTTCAATACCTAGGAAGGCTGAAGTTCGACAGGTATAAAACAAAAACTTCAGCTATAGAGCTGAAGTTTGACAGGTATAAAATAAAAACT